AGTGTCCGCAGCTGGCCGGAGGAGCCAAGCCGAGGGCACCCCACGAACCCCGTGTGGCAATTTGCCGACCTGCTGAGCGTTGATGGGCTCTCAACGCCGTTCGCTCCGGTGCACGGAGCTGGTTCCTCCAAGCAGGGAAGCAGCGGTGCCATGTTTTTCCCAGCCGAGCGGGATTTGAGGCAAGAGCGTGGCCCAAGCAGGAGTACTGGTGGCCGGTGCAAGCGGGGCTGAGCATCCCGCCGCGCAGCGCTTCAGCAGCCAGGTCCTGCCGCGTGTTTTTTCCCTCAGTTCGGTTCCTTTCCTGGCTGCGGCAAGGCCACGGCTCCTGGGATACAGATGCTTCTCTGCGGGGCTAAGGAAAAATGCCAGGGCAGCACAGGTCTCGTGGCCTGGCCACCAGAGCCACCTTCTCGGCAACCTGGGCCGTGGCTCCCCCCAAATTCCTGCCTCCGCTTTCCTGCCAGAGACAGTCACACCAAGGCCGAGCTCTCAGACCCGGGGCGGGCTGCTCCCTGCTCTCACTTTGGGAGGTACCGGCTGGCTCCTGGCCACTCCTGGGGAGGCAGTTAGGCAATTAGGTGGTCATGGAGCTGCAGAGGGAGGATTTGGGGACAGGGGCCCACCCTGAGGTCTACTGTGAGGGTGATCTGTCCCTCAGCCCCAGCTGTGAGAGGCAGAGTGAAAAGCTGAGATTGTGGGTCTGGCCCCCCATTGTCTGTAACGCTCCCGTGCCGCCATCGGCCCCGGCATGGCAGTCTTTCTGGGGTAACTTTGTGCCCTTGTAGGACCATGGCTGCTGCTGCGGGGGCGTTTTGTGGGGCCGGACCCACCTCTGCCCTGCTTGTCACAGCAGGCCTCGGCAGCCTCGCTGGGGTGGGGTGCCCGCTCCCACCCGGGCAGCCAGGCGCCCGCTTCCTACCGCTCGGCTTCTGCCAAGCAGATGGTCCCGGCCTGTTTTGCAGACTCGTGGCATGCAGGCCATCTGGAGCTGTGCGGGGAGGAGGAGGAGGAGGCAGCTTGAGCAGGGATCAGATTTGTCTCCAAACACACTAGCCTACTGCACCACGAGGATTAAGGCTCCCCTAGCTCCCCTCCGCTGCCTCGGGTGCCTGGCTGGGTGCCACGGCTGCCAGCACGTCCTTCACCCCATCCCCGCATCCTCCGGACCAGGCAGCGGGCAACATCTGGTGCCCAAAGAGAAGGCTGGGAGGAGAAATGCAGGGGGGCAGCAGCCCCGGGGGGAGGGGGGGAGGATGCCTGGCTGTTCGTGGAGCAGAGACGCGGCCCGTGCAAGGCTGCTTGGGGCGCAGGGAGCTGTGCAGCCCGGGGTCCGTCTGGCTGGGAAGGATGGAGATGCAGAGCAAGGCACAGCAGGGATTTTTTTTTTTCCCCTGCCTGGCACAGCTCTAGAGCTGGGCAGAGGAAGCAGGAGGAGGATGCAATATTTTGCTCAGCCGGTTACCTTGGCAATTAGCCGGAAAGGCAGAAACAGCATCCCCATCCCACCTTGCACCCAGAGACGCCGAACCTCCGGGGGCGGCGTGGGCTGGGAAGGGGCCTTAAGGATGTGGGTGGGCGCCTGGAGTGATGGGATGCGGGCCAGGGGACACCCAGGGGCCCAGACGGTGGCCAGCTTTGGCAGGTGGGCTGCACTGGAGACGATAGCGCTGCCGCGCGCAGTACCAGGACGATGGGGAAGGCAGCACCCCAGGCCATTTGTTCAGCCCTTTCCAAGGATTTCCCCCCCCCCGAGCAGCACGTCGGAGCCCTTTTGCGGGGGAAATGGTCCCTCGCAAGCTGATCTGGCCCAGGAGGAGCCAGACTTACGTCCCAGGGCCACCATCACGGTCCCTAGGCTGAGCCCTGGCCGTGGGCACCCTCCGCCTTTGCAAGTGGGAATCTCCAGCTCTGCGCCCGGCAGCCGAGCCTTGCTCCTCTGACCCCGCGACTGGAGGCTCCTGGTCTTCCTTCGGTGCTTGCAGGAGGATGCCCACAGGCAGGCTCTTCCAGCCTGACTTTTCTGTTCCTGGGGAGCGATGCGAATCCAGCACCCTGAAGGGAAGCCAAACGGCAGCGGCGCCATCGGGACGGAGGGTGAGTTTCCCGCGGGAGCCAGCAGCCGGGCAGCCCCCAGGGCAGTGCCAGCCCTTCCCATCGCAGAAGGATCAGCACTTAATGCTCTGAAGCCAGCTCAGGACATGAGACAACGCTGCATTACTCCAGTTCCCAGCTTCTTAAGGGGCCTCTCAGCTTCCCCGGCTTCCCTGCCAGGCCTGGAGTCCTCCCGGCTTTGCCTCCTCAGATGTCTCCACATCTCAAAGTGCATGGCCCCAGCTCCCCAGATGTCTCCTACAGGGGCTGTCTGTACCTTCGGTTTGATGGTCCAGGGTGCCGGATGCCTTTGCTTGAGATTTTTGGCACAGAGTGCCGAAGTAAGGCAAGAGGCTTCGGATGTAGCATCTTCAGACGTAGCAGGAGGATGCCCAGCTCCCCCAGCCAGCGGGCCACCCTGACAGCTGAGCCGGCTGGGTTTCATGGCACTACCTCTGCAGTACTGTGATGTGAAAGCAGATGCTTTTCCCCAGGCTGGAAAGGAAGCAGCAGGGCAGGGAGGCCAGTGGCAGACGGAGAACTTGCTGAAGCTGGCTGTGGGCATGGGCTTTCGCCAGGACAACTTGGACTTGTTTGGAGAGCCAAGGTGCTGGTCCTCCCCCACACCCGTGGGAGCCCCTGGTCGGACGGTGCTCCCAGCATGCCGGGCGGAAACACCAAGGGAGCCCTGTGCAGGGCAGTGATTTTATCCCTGCAGGCTCCAGACCACCCCCCTGCCCTCCCAGTAAAACCAGGCTGCAACATCTCAGTGCCATCCTGCAGCTCTGAATCACAGTCCCTGGGGTTTTGTGCATCGTCCAAAGTTTTCCTTCCAGCCATGGGTTTTCTGCCCTTTTCCTGGGAGATGGAGCTGTGCTGTTGGCGTAGGAAAACTGAGGCAGGGAGCAAGGCTCACCCGTGGCTTGCTGGCGCTGGGGTGATAACAACTGGTGGCCGGGCAGCCTCACACCCTGATAAGGGGGG